TTTGTTATTGACTCTGAATGAGTTTGATATAGCAATTGACAACCCCAAACCTATTATTAATGATCAGAGCACCAGAGCTGAAAAGGCTGATTATGAGAGATGGACAAGAGCCAATAAGGTGGCACTGTCCATTCTAGAGAGTGGCATGACTGATACTATTCGAGGAGGAATTAAGAAACATGATGTGGCTGCTGACTATCTGAATGCCATATAGAAGAAATTTCAAGAATCTGTAAAAGCTGAAGTAAGTCAGTATATGTCTCTATTGACTACTTACAAGATGGAGGGTACTGGCTCCATCAGGGATCATATAATGAAGATGACCGATGCTGCAGAAAGACTCAATACAATGGACATAAATATTGGTGAGAAGCAGCTAGTATTCATGATCCTTCAAGCACTCCCCAACAGATATAGCCAATTGAAGATTTCTTATAACACTCAAGATAAAAACTAGGATGTTGACCAATTGATTGCACAATGTATGCAAGAAGAAGCTCGTCAAAAACAAGAAAGAAGCAAAGAGATTGAGGATATCAACTTTGTGCAGATAGCAAATGAGAAGAAGCTGTTCAACAACAGAGGCTATTCTGGTTCTGGTAAGAATTCTAAACCATTTAAGAATTCTAATAAGTTCAGTAATTCTGCTAAAGTAGTTGACTCCCCTAGAAAGTCTAATAAGTTCAAGGCTAAACCTAAAGATGTGTCTAAGCTTAAATGTTTTTGGTGCAAAACTAAGGGCCATTTAAAAGTCAACTGTGAAATTTTCAAAGATTATGTGAAGAGTAAAGAAAAGGAACAAGTACTTGTATGCGTTGAATCAAACCTTTGTGAAGTACCTGTTGATTCTTGGTGGTTTGATACTGGATGCTCAGTACATATAACTAACTCTTTAAATGGTTTTCAAAAACAAAAGGAAATTGGTGATACTTTATACAATGTTTATGTAGGGGAAGGGACTAGGGTTGCAGTTCATTCAATAGGGATTGTGAATTTAAAGTTAACTTCTGGTTTTGTTTTAAAATTAAAAGACGTGCTCTATGTGCCAAAGATGAGAAGAAACTTAATTTCTGCCTCTGAAATTGTCAAAGACGGTCTTGCTTTCCTTGCTGATGATGAGTGTTTGAAAATCTTTAAAAAGAACTGTCTAAATTCTGTTTTAGGTACTGCCCTTCTATTAGACAATCTGTGGAGTTTAGAATGTTCAATAGAGTCAAATAATCACTCAATTTTGAATGTTGGTTTCAAAAGGACGCTAGGAACTGACACTTCTTATATTCTCTGGCATAAGAGGCTAGGGCACATTTCTAAAGAAAGAATAATGAAACTTTCAAAGGTAGAATTGATTCCAAAATTAGATTTTACTTCTGGAAATGAGTGTGTTGACTGTTTAAAAGGCAAAATGACTAATTTCAGAAAAATGGATGCTAAGAGAAGTCAAGGGCTATTAGAGATCATACACACTGACATTTGTGGTCCTTTCCCAGTCAAAACAATTTGTGGTCATAGGTATTTTATCAACTTCATTGATGATTTTTCTAGGCTCGGTTATACTTTTCTTATTACAGAGAAATCAGAAGCCCTTAGTTGTTTTGTCAAATATAGAACAGAAGTAGAAAAACAGTTAGGGAAGGTCATAAAAATTGTTAGATCAGATAGGGGAGGTGAATACTTTGGCAGGTACACTGAATCTGGGCAACAAAAGGGTCAATTTGCGCTCTATCTCGAGAAGAATGGGATTGTGGCACAGTACACTACACCTGGAATGCCTCAACAGAATGGTGTCTCTGAAAGAAGAAACAGGACCCTCATTGGTATGGTGAGAAGTATGATGTCAAGATCAAAATTGCCAGGATTTCTGTGGGGAGAAGCTTTGAAAATAGCTAATCATATATTGAATCAAGTTCCAAGCACGGCAGTGTCTACCACACCTTATGAGTTATGGCATGGGAGAGTTCCCAGTTTTACTTATTTCCATGTTTGGGGTTGTAAAGCAGAAGCTAGGTTCTATAATCCTAATGAAAGAAAGCTGGATCCAAGGACTCAGTCATGTTACTTCATTGGTTATCCTGAGAAATCAAAAGGATACAGGTTCTATATACCTCAAAGTCACACTCGGATCCAGGAAACAAATAATGCAGTTTTTTTTTTAGGATCAAGATGTCTCACATTTGTCAAGGGAAACTTTTGTATTTCAAGAGATACATCAAGATGGTGATGACCATGTGGCAATGGACTACACTCAAGTTCCATTGTTTTCTAATCCATTGACGCCTGCTACAGAGGATATGAGTGAAGAATTAGGGGTTCAAGTTGACAACACTGCAGAAGTCGATCAATTAGCACAACCTGAAATATTGACTTCCTTTGAAGAATCACTAGCATCAGTTCCATCTCATGTTGAAATCAGAAAATCCACAAGAGCCCGAAAATCCACTGAAACAAGTGACTATGTGTATCTGCAAGAGAGTGAGTTCGACATAGGTGACAGTGATGACCCTCTTACATATACCCAAGCAATTGAAAGTCCTCAATCAGTTCTATGGAACAATGCTATGAAGGATGAGTTAGAATCAATGTTCAAAAATCAAGTATGGACACTGGTAGATTCAAACTCTGAAATTCGGCCAATAGGTTGCAAGTGGGTATATAAAACTAAAAGGGATGCTAATGGAAGAATTGAGAGATATAAAGCACGGTTGGTTGCTAAGGGGTTTACTCAGAGAGAGGGAATCGATTATAATGACACTTTCTCTCCAGTTTCCTCTAAAGATTCTATGCGAGTTATAATGTCCTTGGCTGCTTATTTTGATCTTGAGTTACATCAAATGGATGTAAAAACAGCCTTTCTTAATGGAGATCTACAAGAAGACATTTATATGAAGCAACCTGTTGGATTTGTTGAAAGGGGGAAGGAAAGTATGGTATGCAAGCTTAATAAGTCAATATATGGCTTAAAACAAGCATCAAGGCAATGGTACTTGAAATTTGATCAAATTGTCTCTGCACAAGGTTTTGTAGAAAATAAGTTGGATGATTGCATATATATCAAGTTCTCAGGATCCAAATTCATTTTCTTGGTACTTTATGTTGATGACATCCTTCTTGCAAGCTCATGTCCTCAATTGCTTCAAAGTACTAAAAGAATGCTCAGTGACAACTTTGAGATGAAGGACCTTGGTGAAGCACATTATGTATTGGGAATAGAGATTGTTCGAGATAGGCAAAAGAGGCTTCTTGGCTTATCTCAAAAGGCATATATTGACAGAATCTTGGTGAGATTTCATATGGAAAGTTGCAATAGTGGTCAAGTTCCGGTCAATAAAGGTGATAAGTTCTCGAAGAGTCAATGTCCAAAAACTGATTTGGAAGCAAAGAGAATGCAAGCTAAACCTTATGCTACTTTAGTGGGCAGTCTCATGTATGCAACTATATGTACAAGGCCTGATATTGCCTTTATCGTTGGCTTGCTAGGCAGATTTCAAGCAAATGCAGGTGAAGCACATTGGGTAGCAGCCAAGAAAGTTCTGCGATACTTGCAGAGAACCAAGAATCATATGTTGGTGTATGGTAAAACCAATTCTTTGGAACTTATGGGATATACAGACTCGGATTTGGCTGGAGATGTGGATGATAGGAAGTTAACTGGGGGTTATATCTTCATGCTTAATGGAGGGGCAGTTTCATGGAAAAGTGCAAAACAAACTGTTATAGCTACATCTACTATGGAGGTTGAGTTTGTAGCTTGCTTTGAAGGCATGAAGCAAGCAACATGGTTGAAGAATTTCTTAACAGATTTAAAGGTTGTAAATACTATCCAGAAGCCTATTAAGATGTTCTGTGATAACAACTCGGCTGTATTCTTTGCCAAGAATAATAGGCGAACTTCAGCTTCACGCTTGATGGATGTTAAATTTCTTAAGGTCAGAGAGGAAGTCAAGAAAGGAACTATCGAAGTACAGCACATAAGCACTACAATGATGCTTGCTGATCCGTTGACTAAGGCACTGCCTGTTGGAGAATTTAGAAAGCATGTTTCTTTGATGGGAGTGCTAGAAAGTTTTGATCAGTGGGAGTAATCAAGCATGTTTTGAGGCTTTGGAGTTGCAGCTGTGAAGAATAGATGAATGAGTGCAGCTCTGACAAACTGAGGTTAAGTTATAACTAGTTTGCTAGTTTGATTTTGTGTTTTAATAAGTGTCTTTGTCCTGAGACTGAATGCTTTAAGTTTTGAAAGTATTGTAGTATTGGAGATAGACCATGTTAGAAGTTTAGATTCATTTGATACTTTGGAAAAACAGTTTGTCTGTTTTAAAGTTTATAGTTAATGAATTTTGTATTTCAGTCTTTAAAATGTTGCTTTTCAATGAAGATTGTTATGTGATGTGATCTTTTGAAAAGTGGAAGCATAATCTGGACTGTTTATGTTGTTTTGAATCATGAGTCATATTTACAAATTGAGTACATGTGAGCTTAGATTTAATACTGCATTTTGGTTGTAGTCTGAGAATCTTGGTTCCTGTATTTTGAGATGTAACGAGACATTGGTCATGATGGTGGAATCTTGGATAAGGCTATGTGATCACTTCTTATGATTGGTAAAAGCTATGTTTGATTTTTATCCCATGTTCAAGTGGGAGAATGTAAAAGTATAAACATGAGATAAGATGATCGGGCATTAGCTATTCAAATCCAATAAGGATAAGAAAGTCTTATATGAAGATGAATATCAGTTCTTGTCAATAAAGGATTTTATTGCAGTAGGAAACTGATATAGGAAAACATAAGTTGTTTCCCATAAGGATTTTAATAGGGAATCCACATGCTAATATGAGAAGGATATGTGTGTGTGTGTGTATATATATATATATATATATATGGCATTCTCTCCTCTCACAGGTGCGGGCTTTTGTTGGAACTAAGTCCTATTCTTGGTTAGAGTAAAAGCATCCTGACAGAGAGAAGAAGAGTTGCTGCGTTTGGATTAACAGTGAACATCCATGGCTGCTTCCAATGGAAATTCTTCAGGTTAGTATGTTTCACTTTATAAGGATTAGTGTTCTGTGTTTTGATCTTGGTTGTGGTTTATGTAACTGAATCTGATTGCTGGAATAAGTTTAACACTCTTCCCACAGCCCCTCCGCTCATACATTTTCTCAAAACTCTCTAGCCTTTTCAGTACCCCTTTCTCCTCCATAACTCTCGTCATAGAAGAGTTCTCCGGTGCCGCACGCAACCAGGTCTACGCCACCGCCGAGGTCTACCTCCGGACCATCAACAACATTGCTCCTTCCACTCACCGCTTCCGTGTTGGAAAAAATATCCGGCAAAAGAACGTCAGCCTCGCCCTTGACAACAACGGACAGCTCGAAGACGCCTTTGACAATGTGAATCTGACGTGGCGTTTCAAGGTGAGGAAGGAAAAGTCTGGTGTTGAACAGCGTCAGTTCGAGCTGAGCTTCCACAAAAAACACAAAGACAAAGTGATGGAGTCCTACTTCCCCTACGTACTTGCTAGGGCTGACGCCATCAAAGAAGAGCAAAGGGTTGTGCAGCTTTATTTCCGCCATTTAATGTCTGATATTGATTTCAAAGGCAGGTGCACATGGGGTTCGGTGAATCTGGAGCACCCGTCTACGTTCGACACGATGGTGATGGACCCTGAGACGAAGAAGATGATTGTGGAGGATTTGGAGAGGTTTGTGAGGAGGAGGGAGTTTTACAAGAAGGTGGGGAAGGCTTGGAAAAGAGGCTACTTGCTGTACGGTCCGCCCGGGACCGGAAAATCCAGCTTGATTATGGTTAATTATCTCAAGTTTGATGTGTATGATTTGGAGCTCACTAGCATTCAAAACAACAATGAGCTGAGGAGGATTTTGTTGTCCACGACAAATCGTTCGATTTTGGTAATTGAGGATATCGATTGCTCTGTGGATATGCAGAACCGGGAATCGAATAAAAGGTCTCAAGATATCTCTCAACGATCTACTTCTAACAAGGTTAGAGTCCTAAATAGTTCTCGTATTTTTTTTAGTCTAATCTAATTTTTAGTGGACATTTAACTAAACCTTCAATCCATAATCTTAGATGAATAGTATTTTACTATCGTCAAATCTTGTTGTTTGTAACTCTTTGTTAGCTAGATGACTTTGGAATAGATGTTATAACTCAATTTAACATAGTATCAGAATCATCGAGACGCTTATCTAATGTAGCTCAATTATACTGAGTAACATTAAGTAACAAATTTGCATGCTCTAATACAGTAGATTAAAGTAAAAATTCTGAAACAAAATCAGTTGGTTGAAAGGCACAAAATTTTATATGCATTGGGATAAGGCTTGCATTGCACATATAAAGCTAGGTGAAGATGATATTATATTACGTTCATTTTGGTTCGATTCGTTTCGGATTTCTTTTTATTCGACTTTTTATTTTTTTATTTTTATTTAAGCCTCAGTTTGGCTGTTTTTTTTGTGTTTGTTTTTCGAACCCACCCCTAATAATGATGCATTGACATGTTATGACAAATTGGATATAGCAGTTGACACTTTCAGGCCTACTGAATTTCACCGATGGGCTGTGGTCGAGCTGCGGCGACGAGAGAATTATCGTGTTCACAACAAACCACAAGGATCAGCTAGACCCTGCATTGTTGCGTCCAGGTCGAATGGACCTGCACATTTACATGTCCTATTGCACCGCAGCTGGGTTCAGGATCTTGGCCTCCAACTACCTTGGCATTCAAGAAAACAACCGTCATCGCCTCTGCGGAGAAATTGAAGCGCTGATAGAGAGCACAGAGATTACCCCGGCAGAGGTTGCTGAGGAACTGATGAAAAATGATGATCCTAATGTGGCTCTTCAAAGACTTGTCAATCTGCTCAAATGAAAGAAGGCCGCCAAGAGCAATGAAACGGAGGATTAAGGGAAAGCAAGGAGATTAAGGTTCAGAGGAGTAATTAATTAAGCTAGTTTTCTTTCATCTATGCTTTTATAGACATCAACGTTAATTTCATGTCGTATCAGTTTGAACCTGGGATTAGTAATCCATCTGTTGTTCATATGTGCCCGAATTTGGTTAGTTCGTTTGAACTTAATTAAGCTAACAGAAAGTTAATCATGAGGTTGTTTACTTTTATTCGTAAGTTCGCATACTAGTTAGTAAGCACAACATTAATGTATATGTCAGCATGAATTCCAGCTCAAACTCAATCCATCCAGCAGAGTTCCTAAATAAGAACACTCACCCTATAAAATGAGTATAGGATCCTCTTCGGATTCTTTTTGTGGGAATCCGGATGATCAATTAATTGTGTTCGTTCATCGTACATTTTACAGTTAGAAATCATTTTATATTTTAAATTTAAAATTAAATATAAAAATATCTAACTAAAATTGATCGTGCGAAATGCAATGAACATACACGATTAATTAATCTCTGAATCCTCATAAAAAGGATCCGGAGAGAATCCTGGTCCCCTCCCACGGCTCGCCTGCAGCTGGCCCAACAACTTGCTTGCTGCTGTCCCAAACTCCCAGCGCACATGGCCTTTTACAAACGTGAAAAACACAAACATGGGTAATGACCGACGTCTCCCCTTAAAATTTCAAACGTTGTGGATTATTTCTCAAGGGCTTGTTTGGTATCTCGCAATCATTTTTCAAGTTGTGGTAAAAAGACAAGCATAAATTTAGGTTTTGAATGATGACCAAAAACAAAATCTAGGTTTTGAATGTAGTGTTTTTTGGAAACTTCGTCGACAAGCGAAAAACATTTGGTGTCAAGATTTGAATTTTTTTAATAAAATGTTTATAAAAATATTTTACAACAACGTAATGTTAAATTAATTCAAGAAAAATTAACATAAACAAAAAATGTGCATCTAATCAAATTATCACATGAAATTGTAAAATTTCAAATTTAGGGCTGCTACTATAAGAACTCTATCCTATTGGAGACAATATTCCTTTAAGGACACAAAGATTCTTTTTAAGTACTCAAAAGTGGTGGTGGGACTAGGGACTCCCATTGGAGATGCTCGAACCTCCCAAAATCAAACCGAACCGGGTATACTCGGGTTGGTTTACGATTCTTGGCTAATTAATCTAATATGAAATTAAGTAGACCGGTTTATCTTATTTTTATTTTGTTAATTTTATTTTCTACATGTCTTATATTGATGGGTGATTCTATAGTGAATCTTATAGAATTGATCATGATGAAAATGCTCAAGCGAACAAGGGTTGACTCAGTTGGTAAGGTCCTTACCTTGTGTGTTGCCCCACCAAGGTTTGAGTCATGTTGCCAGCAGTTTTTGTTGGTGCACGATATGTAAATTTCTACGTAAGTCCATTCCAGTGGTAGCTAGCAGTTAGGTGCCATGCGTAAGCCCTTCCAGCTAGAAGTTGTGAATATACCCTGACGTTCGTGGTGAGAGTAACCAATCTCCCTCTAAATTTGTAGCAAACAAACAAAAAAAACAACACAGAGAGGTTGAGGGAGCAACGGTTGACAAATCTGAAGGGAGCAAGGATATTCCCGATTGGTGGGTTTGTACAAGAGATATTAAACCCAATTTCTCAAAAGTCTAATAAATGTGAGCCAAACTAAACTCAACCAAACCAAATCAAACCATTTGTATATTGGTTCAGTTGATCAATTTGATACGGTCATTCTTGTGGAAGATCAAATGTACCTATCCGGTTAAATATGGGGCTCGATTTTTAAAATGTTCAAAGAAATTCAAATTGAACTGAATCATGCTCAACCCCAACTAAACCTCCACAATTAATGTATCAATTTCTAAAGCCTTGCTCTCCTGCGCATCTATTTCATAGAAGAGAATGACCAAGAATTTTTTTTTTTTTGGTCAACAAAGCGGGCAAGATTAAATTAAAGCTCATTTAGTTAAATCTGAACTATTCACTTGCGAAAAAAAAAAAGAGAGAATTTTCACAATTTCCTATTCAACCAACAAGAACAAAAACAAAACTTTTGAGCCCATAATATTATAACCCACAGCCCAAAAATAACTTCTAAAGGCTGGAGAAATTTTTTATTATGATGGGGACACGGGTAGTACACTATGCATTTTTATAGAAGTTGTGAGAAATTTTATTTTTTAAATTATTAACTTTTTGACACATATACTCTACCATTTGTATAGTGACACGTGATGTATCATTCCGTCTACTAGTCACACTGAAAAATCTCTGCAAAGGTTGCATGTGCAATGTGCAACTTCCAAATATGGACATGGATCCTCTCCAGATCCAGTTGTCCTAATCTATCTAGTCAAATCATCCGAGGCATTAAATTTGATCTAATGGCTAAAATTATTATAACTTTTAAAATGAACTTCTAATTGTAGCTGTTGGATCAAATTTCAATACCCCGGATGATTTGATTAGATGGATTAGGACAACTGAATCGGGAGAGGATCCATGTCCTCCAAATAGGTGAGTCAAACCTCCGGACCAAATTGGACTGTGCCTGTGCAATGTGCATCGCACCACAACAGCTCCTTCCAGCTCAACAAACAATAATGGTAGTCCCAACAAGAAAAGGACTAGAAATTGACTTAAGTTCAATTAAACCAATTACCACGTTTACTACTATTTCCAGTTTCAAACTGCATACCAAAAAGCATATATCAAACCCAATTAATTAGCTTAATTAAGTAGTTCTCAATTACTAACTCTATATCTAATTAACAACCTTCAAGTTCACTGCATGTCGTTGTACTTTGAATCTTTTTAGTAATTTGGAAACCAAGTTGAACCAGCTATTACTCTACTGCTTCACCTTCATCACTGGCATTGTGATCCGTCTTCAGCCTCTTCGCTTTTCTGGCCTCCTCCTCCTCCTCCTCCTTTCTTTTTTCGCTCTCGATCCTCTTACGTTTGAGAAAATTGACAAGTCCTCCAAGGGCAACATCAACATCGTCGCTTTTCATGAGCTCCTCAGCAACCTCTGCAGGGGTCACCTCTGTGCTCTTGATCAACTCTTCGACTTCCCCGCAAAGACTATGAGGGTTGTCCTCATGAATATCGAGGTAATTAGAGGCCAAGACCTTGAATCCACTTGGAGTGCAGTATGACATGTGAATGTGCACGTCCATTCGCCCCGGACGTAGCAATGCAGGGTCTAACCGATCCTTGTGGTTGGTGGTGAACACGATAATTCTCTCGTCGCCACAACTCGACCACAAACCATCGATGAAATTCAGTAGCCCCGAAAGCGTCAACTGCGGCAGCCAATTTTTCAGGATTAACAAATGAACATAACATCTAATCCGAAATCATCTAACAAAGAGTTGAGAGACGAAAATCTAACATAGTACGGCTTTAATATGTACAAATTACCAAAGTATGAAATAAAAATCGGATTAGATATAAGCGATTACAAAAAAAACAAGTACTAACTGAAGAGATTGACCTTGTTAGAAGTAGAACGTGTAGGGTCTTGAGACTTATCCGCCGAGTTATCCCGGTTCTGCAAATCCACAGTGCAATCGATATCCTCAATCACCAAAATCGAACGATTCGTGGTGGACAACAACAACTTCCTCAAATCACTGTTGTTCTGAACGCCACTGAGCTCCAAATCATACACATCAAACCTGAGATAATTAGCCATGGCGGCGATCAAGCTCGATTTTCCCGTTCCCGGTGGACCGTACAGCAAGTAACCCCTTTTCCAAGCCTTCCCAACCTTCTTATAAAACTCCTTCCTCCTCACAAACCTGTCCAAATCCTCCACAATCATCTTCTTCATCTCCGGTTCCATCGCCACCGTGTCGAACGTCGACGGGTGCTCCAGATTCACCGAACCCCATTTCCTCTTGCTGTACGAACGATCGTACTCGGAGCACAAATGACTGGAGTAAAGCTTAACAGCCCTTTCCTCTTCTTTGATGGCGTCAGCCCTAGCAAGCACGTACGGCAAGTAGGACCCTATCACTTTGTCCCTGTGCTTCCTGTGGAAGCTGAGCTCGAACTGACATGTATTCCCGTACTTTTTATTCTCCGTCACCGTGTACTGCCATGTTAGATTGACGTTCTCGAAGGTGTCGGCGACTTGCTGGTTTTTGTCCATGGCGCAGCTGATGCTCCTCTGCCGGTTTGTTTTTCGGACACGGAGGCTTTTGGTAGAAGGGCTGATGTTGATGGTCGGAAGGTAGACCTCGGCAGCCTGGTAGACCTGATTGCAGGCAGCGCCGGAGTACTCTTCGATGACGAGAGTTATGGAGGAGAGGGGGGTGAAAAGGTAAGCGAGTTTGGAGGAAATGTATGAGCGGAGGGGCGGCGGGAGGAGGTCGTTGGCCATGGAGCGGACCAGCATCATGGATCCGGCGACGGAGACGTAGGCTGAGAACAGAGACGACGCCGTGGTGGGCATTTCTTTAAGATTATTAAGAGAAAACATGTGTTGTAATCTTCTTCTTACAAAGTGGAGTCTTAAGAAGTTGAGAAATCGAGAGCGAATTGTATGTATAATTTATAGAAGGAAATTGTAGTAATCATCATTCAACTTTAATTAATTTAGAGCAATGGTTTTTGAATTAAAAATCTATTATTATTGATCATTCAACTCATCAAAATATGTAACTATGATCATTTTTGTCAACTTCGTCAGAATTTTGTCAAAATAAGTTATGTTGGAAGGATCATGGTTACAATTGGGATCCCTCAACTCATCAAAACCTGTAACTATGATCATTTTTGTCAACCTCGTCAGAATTTTGTCAAAATGAGTTATGTTGGAATAACTATTGCTACAATTGGGTTAAAGTTGAGAGATTATTGCTCCAATTGAGTTAAAGCTGAGAGAGCATTTCTCTAGTTGAATAAAAATTGAGAGACCAATGATAATGAATTTTTAGTTGAGGGACCATAGTTGTACATTTTGATGAGTTGAGAGATCAATGGTAATAAATTTTAAGTTGAGAAATCCTGTTCCAATTAAATTAAAGTTAAAAGATCATTGCTATAATTTACTCAATTTATATTTATCAACTAATTATTAGAAGTTGCTTAATATCCAAGCAGAGCGATATCTTTTTTCTGTCTGTTTTTTTTTTCAGATCAGACTTGCAGAGAGAGAGCAGTTAGATGTAGTCAATTTTTTTCCAAGAGAAGGAGTTTTCCAGACAAATATGCCAACCTTTCATTGCCTTAAAACGCGTGATAAATTGACCAGACAAAAAATAAAATAAAAACAAAAATGTTTTTATTTTTATTTTTTACTGTCATTAATCTAGGTCTTTAACATCTTAATATGTATACTTGAGATCGTAAAAATGTTACTCTGATTATATTTTTTTTCACACCACATTCATTACCACCTCTATAATAGAGATGGATCCACATGTGTTGGTGAGTCTTATTTCATTAAAAAGATAATACAAATGTGGTATAAAAGTATGATGAGTGTAGTGTTACTCAATAATAAAGAGCACAATATTGCTATGTCCCACATGATTTGAATCGTATGAATAAAAGGGAAATTTTCTCACAGATCTTTGACGTGCAAGTTGGATCAATGAAAGCAACTTATATGATATAGACATATTATCATGATTATTTAACTTATTTCTCACATTAATAATACAATGACATGTGAAAGAAAGCTACGGCGTATCTTTTTAATTTTTCACACTAACATCGATACAAGTCCATTTCACACATGACCCTTTGGGTCTCATTAAAAATAACACATGGTCTTTGACTCTTGATCCACAAACATCTAAAAGAAAGATGGGCCGGGTCACAAGGCCCACAATATCAACCCGAGAGGCTTCATCACCGAGCGCCACACGTGGTTTACCGAGTGATACAACAAGTACGCCCAGCCTACCAACTCTTCAGTCTTAATCATTAACGATGAAGATGAACACTCGGCCTGATCATTTTCCGACCGCTCAAACCGTCCGCAGGAATTGAAGCAAACCTTGGTGTTAGAAGTTGGGTTTTGTTTCTCTCATTGCCGGTTTTGTATATCAACGCTGCAACAATCGATCCTCAGTCCTCGATCACCAAAATCGAACGATATGTAGTAGACAACAACACCCTCTTCAATATATAGTCAGTGGAAGGATTACTAATCTCGAAATCATACACATCAAACTTGAGATAACTAGCCATGGCAGCGATCAAGCTCGATTTTCCAGTGCCGGGAGGACAATACAACAAGTAGCCTCTTTTCCAAGGCTTCACAATCATTTTCTTCATCTCGGGGTCCATTGCCATCGTCTCAAACGTAGCGGGGTGCTCTAGATTTATCGAGCCCTATGTACCATTGTCGCCATCATCGTACGAACATAAATGACGAGAGCAAAGCTTCACAACCTTCTTTAATGGCATTCGCCCGAAGGCAAGAAGGTGTCCGTCACTTTGTGTTTTTTGTGAAATGTCAGCTCAAAGAACTGGCGCTTCGAACTTTCGCCGGACTTCTTCTTTTTCTTCTTGGTGATAAATATCCAACATCCTGCAAAACGCAGACATAGGTTGAGAACAGGGCGAATGCTACTGTGAGCAGATTTTTTAGATCAAACGAAAACATTTTGGTAATTTCAGATTGGTGTGATAGGGAGATGGATGACGACACCAATGAAAGGTTATTTACTCATCAAGCAACAAATTAGATTTTATGCAAAATGATTAATTTTATTTGATCCCTCGTCACGACAAACAAATAAAATAAATCATCTGCTTATTAAGCAACCTAATCAGCCGCCACCGTGAGTGCAAAGGACACCCAAATACACTCCATGAGAAATTTGCACATCCATTAACATTGACCAATAAGGGTAGAGGGAATTTGACCAAGTTACACAATAAAGGGTATTGAATCCAACACAAATATTACACGTCTTAGTCCATTCGTGTGAATCAAACCTGAGAAGTCAAAAGAAAAATACTACTAGACTGTATGAATAACTGGTCTGCTATTAGACGATAAAACATTCACCAACACTCATTTTATCCTAAAGCCACCTCCAATAAGAAGAATTTTCTTTATAAGTAGTGTTTTCTAATCCACCTACCACAAGTTTTAACACGGTGCACTAAACTACAAAGAAGAGGATTTGAACTTGAGTACAGAGTAGGTAGGGGATTGCTCTTCTCATAGTTTAGATTAAACTAGAATATCACTTTGTCACAACAAAGAAAAAGGTAGGTCTAACTCTGTTGCTGCAATTCCCTCTAATTTTCCTGTGTTTACATTCTTGAATTCACAGAACCAAGTTGAGCAAGTCACTACATCAGGTAAGATATCACAAAAGAGAGATTGAAACTAGCTATGGCTTTCCAAAAGGGTTAAGGGTTAATTATCTAAGATTGAAACATTAAACTTGGACATGGGAGCATCAGGATTTAGACCATTGAAGACGGAAGTGCAGCAACTTTTTGATCCCTTTCCTGCGACCACATTGCTTCTTGACCTGCAGCAGCGATGTTTTCTTCTTCTTGCTTTTGGCCTTCTTACCCTTGAGCAGATTGACAAGTCCTTGAAGAGTAACATCAGCATCATCACTCTTCATCAGCTCCTCAGCAACCTCTGCTGGGGTGATCTCTGTGCTGTCAATCAGCCCTTCAATTTCTCCACAGAAGCAATGGCGGTTGTTGTCTTGAATGCCAAGGTAGTTAGAGGCCAAGGTCCTGAACCCAGCTGTGGAGCAGTAGGACATGTGAATATGCAGGCCCATTCGACCTGGACGCAGCAATGCCAGGTCTAATCGATCCTTGTGGTTGGTGGTGAACACAATGATCCTCTCATCTCCACAACTTGACCACAACCCATCTATGAAGTTCAGTAGGCCTGATAGTGTAACCTGAAAATTAGATCATCACACGTAAACTTCTAACACCATGTCAATGCCCATTTGACGGTAATACGATAAATAAGGAAGATTCTTCAGTGTAATCATAGTTACGTGACGAGAAACAAGCCCAAATTCCATCAAACTAACATATAAAAGTCCTGATTAGGCCTTAATAACAATTGTTAATTACAAAATTACAACTAAAAGAACCTAGGAGGAATAGGGATCATCAAGCTACTGCAATCAAAACTTGTAATTTACCCTTTTATATAACAAAGATTGGAGCTTGATTAGGAATTAATTGCAATTGTATATTATAAAGGCAAAACTAAAACAACCTAATTGGAAAAGGGTTTCAGCCTACTGCAGTAAAAAATCGTAATTTAGCCTTACATATAGTAAAAGATTATTCATCAAACATAAGAAATTCAGGAAACGAGTACCAACCCGGCTCCTGTCCGAATCGGGATCAGAATCGGAATCAGAATCCGAATCCGAATCTGAACCCCGGTTGCCAACAACCACCCTGCAACAATCAATGTTCTCAATGACTAAAATAGAATGATTGGTAGTGGACAGCAAAACCTTCTTCAACTGAGAGTCACTATAAATACTAATGAGCTCCAAATCATACACATTAAACTTGAGGTAGTTAGCCATGGCGGCGATCAAGCTCGATTTTCCGGTCCCCGGCTGCCCGTACAGCAAGTAGCTCCTTTTCCAAGCTTTCCCCACCTTATAGAACTTCTTTCTCCACACAAACCTCTCCAAATCCTCCACAATCATTTTCTTCATCTTCGGGTCCATCGCCATCGTGTCGAACGTCGACGAGTGCTCCAAGTTCTCCGACCCCCATTCAGAATTCGCCACGTCATCGTCGTTGTATCTCGACCAGATGTGGCGGGTGTAGAGCTTCAACACCTTCTCCGCTGCTTTAATGGCGTCAGCCTGAGTGAGAACATAAGGCAGGTATGAGGAAATCACTTTGTCCATGTGTTTCATGTGAAACGACAGCTCAAAATACCGCATTCGAATGTCCTGTCATTCTTCCCCTTCTTGGTCTCCGTGATAAACTGCCACTTGAGCTTGACGGCGCCGTCGAAAGTGTCAGAGACTTCCTCGTCCTTGTCAATGGCGACGCCGATGTTCTTCTTCCGGGGAGCCTTGCTGATACAAAGGCGCTCGGTGTGGGTGCCGATCTTCGTCTGGAGGTAGAGTTCGGCAGCGTCGAAGACTTGGTTGCGGGTCATGCCGGAGAGCTCATCGACGACGAGAGTGAGGTCGCGGGAGAAGACAGGTGCAAAAAGGTAGTTTAGGGCTTTGTAGATGTAGGAGCAGAAGGGGGCGGGGATGAGCTCACTGGCGACAGAGCGGAAGAGCATCATGAATGTGGCGATGGAGGCGTAGGCGGAGAACATAGACGACGCCGTCGTCGGCATCTGGTCCTTCAGGTTGTAGAGAGAACATTTTTTGGCGGTTTTCTGAAAAATGGTGGGTTGGAAAATGGAGGAGATTGAAATGGAGAAAATATAGAGGGATTTGATTGGAATTTAATTTTAAATTATAAAGCTTGTTTTATTTTTTAGGAAAACTAATGAGAAATGTTTGAAAACTTTAAATTTTAATGATAAGGATAAAATAAAAGGTAAAGTAAATAGTATCATGATTGACTTTTTAGTGTAAAAATATGGTTTTTCGTTAAAGTGAGCGAACTTTTCATTAAAACTTTTTTTTTTAACCAACAATAGCAATATCGTTATTTTATTAAATAGTTAGTTGCTAGAATAAAGAGGATCAAACTCGTCACATAATGCATAAATATAATTACTTTTTGACAGTGCAATAAAGCGCTTTTGTAATTTATGGAGCTGGTGGGTGTGGAAGCCGAGGGAAGGTCTGTTTTCAGAGTTTGAGACATGTGCTTTGATGCAGAGCCGACATGATCGAGAATCTTGAGGATCTGTAAATCGTGTTTGTTTATCATATGTTATGTGGTTAGTTTTTATTAGATACTATTTGTGTTTAATTTTAAATAAAAATATTTAAAATAATTTTTGACCGCATAATATATGATGAACGAATATGATTTATAGAACATTGAGATCCTCACAAATAGGATCTGGCGAGAATCCGGATTCGATGCAGAGTTTTAAATTTTTCATAGATGTGATGATTTTTTTTTTTTTTTTTTTTTTTTTTTTTTTTTTTTTTGCTAAGAGAACAATGGTATGGACTGTTTTGTAATTAAATTGGGTTATCGTGCTGATGTTGCAGCTGCGGTTTCTTATGGCCAAAGGAAAGGTGGAGTAAAAGTAAAATAGTCACTATTATGGTCTTAGGTCATATCCAATCGAAGGAGGGCTAGATGACTCGTTTTAGCCTTATAGTCATCCAAAAAATTAATATTTTAATGAACAGTGTCAGACAATATTTCTTACCATCTTCAACCGAGGGGCTAGAGGGCCATAGGCCAAACATAGCCTTGTGACAAAACACAATCTCCAACTGAGGGGGCCAAATGACCATAAGGCCAAACATAATTTGTTATTTTAATTGAATTAATATGGTTACTTAAATTAAACTACCTCAATAATTTTTCGAGATGGAATCTAAATAATTTTTCGAGTTGGAATCTTAATAATTTTACATCTCAGATTTCAAGTGTCACGTGTCGATCTATGAGTAACTTTGCAGATTTCTTGTCGATAAGGAATCTCAATAATTTTACGTCTTGGATTTCGAGTGTCACTGTCAATCTGTGAGTAACTTTGTAAATTTCTTGTTGATAAGGAATCTCAATAATTTTACGTCTCAAGCTTCGAGTGCCACATGTCGATCTGTGAGTAACTTTGTAGATTTCTTGTCGATAAGTAATCTCAATAATTTTTCGGATATGATTTCAAGTGTCACATGCTGAGATGTAATTGGTTGTGGGAATTTTAGATAGGATTTTTATCTGCGTGACACTTCTTATCTTCAGCTTCAAATGTCCATAAATAGGGTGGATATTGGCCTATAATTCACACACCTTCAGTTTTGCCCTCTCCAATATCTCTTTCAATTCAAGTTTGCAATGAATTCCAACATATGGTATGTTTGAGTCTACATGCCTTAATAATCTTGGTGAATTTTGTCACACAGTTGTTCAGCTTTACAAAGAGGAGTACCTCAGTCAACCAAATTAAGCAAATCTAGATCGGCTCCTTCACAAAGTTGAAGATCGTGGCTTTTTGGGCATGATAGGGTCATTAGATTGCATGCATTGGCAATGGAAGAACTGTCCCACCAGATGACAAAAAGGCTTTAGCGGAAGATTGAGAAAGCCAACTATTGTGTTAGAGGCGGTTACGTCATTTGACACATGGATCTGACATACTTTCTTTGGAGTCTTAGGATCCCAAAATGATATTACAGTTCTTGGGCGTTCACCCCTCTTCAATAACCTGACAGAGGGTAAATCACCTCAACTTGACTACTACGTCAATGGACATCAATACAACATGGGGTATTACTTGGCAGATGACATATACCCAAAGTGGGCGACACTTGTCCAATCAATTGCAAACCCTGCGGATGACGCCGAAATGTGGTTTACCTTACACCAAGAGGTATATCGGAAAGATGTTGAGAGAGTTTTCGGTATTCTATAAACATGGTGGAAGATCATTAAGGAACCGGCAAGAGGATGGAGTCGAGAAAATTTGAATTCCATCATGATGTCATGCATCATATTACACAACATGATTGTGGAGGATGAGCGAGATGAGTATATTGATGGAGAGTCTGATGATGACCAAGAGGATCCAAATAGGTCAAGAAAAGCTCGTGCAAAAATATACGATGTGCCTAATTTGTCTTTGAATCCAAGAACTGGTAATATCTCTTTAAATGAGTACATGAGATGCCATAGGATGATAGGTTCGCATGTCACAAACAAGTACCTATAACAGGATCTTGTTGCACATCTTTGGGTCAAAAGAAGTATAGAATAAGTGTTTAAGTTTTATATTGTTAAATGTTTTTTTTTTTTTTAATGTTGTTTAAGTTTCATGTTGTTAAATGTTGTTTAATGTTACTTAATGTTATTTAATGTTTTTTAATATTGTTTAATGTTGCTTAATGTTACTTAATGTTATTTAATGTTGTTTAATGCTTAGGTAGTTATAGGAAAAAAAAAAGAATTAAATTTTTTTTTAAAAAAAAAATTTGTGAAAAAAAATATATATTGTAAAAAATCAAATTTAACGGCTAGCTGACGTCAGCAATTAGCCATTGGGATTCAAAATGTTGGACCGCCTATGGCTGGTTGGCTGGTTGGTTTGGGTGAGTCGGTTGACCCAATTCTCCAATTGTGGCCCGATGGGACCCATGAGCATTTGGGCCTAGCTTTCAATTGGAGACGGTTTTCATGTCATTTTGGGCTATTTTCGGCCCTATGACCTTCTGACTTGATCGGTTGGAGATGATCTTAGAAGTTTGATTTGGTACTCTCTAAATTTTGATGCACCTGTCAGGCTGTCACCTTCATCTTGGAATTTTTTTTATTGTAACGGAAATACGAGTGGTATACAACTTCCTTTTATGTAAGTAATGGGAAATTTTATTTTTTAAGTTATTAACACTTTAACGCACATATCCTACCATTTATATAATGACATGTAGTGTACCATCCTATGTTCGAATCACACTAAAAAAATCTCTCCTTCACCTCATTTTAGCTGTGAACCCAAGCAAGAATAGTTATGATCATTAATATTAGCATTTCTTATATGAATGAAGACCAGTTAGGTATGAATTGAAAATTAGGGTATATGTACAAGGAAACGATAACAATGCGTTGTTTTTCTCCCTCTATCATGTTTGTAGTTTCAATTTGATTTATTCAATATAATTGCTTCCGATTAGTCCATAAGCGTTTGAAAATTAAAAAATGGTGCCAAGACCGCCTAGTCCATCCATATCCGGTTAGGCATCCATCTAGATTGCAACTCTCACTTAGATATAAAATAGATAACTTTTACTTTCCATTATGTTCTAATACCTTATACATTGTATGTCATTCTACTTTTCAATTTATAGATCACAGTGCAATTAGGAAGTATAAGCAGACACTTATTTATACGATATCTATTAAATTTACTTAAATCTGCCTAGACCCCGTCTAACCGTCTAAGCATTAGATCTCAATCTACTGTTCGACTAGCACGTAATATCTTTTAAAACCTTATGAAAGATAAGTGTGTGGTTGGTTTCTTAAGTACAATTGAGATGTAAAATGGAAGGGCCCATAGCCGTGATTAACGTGTGTGGTTAATGCGAGGTCGTCAGAGTCAACATGGGTGAGGCCCAAAATGTAAACAGGATAGGGATGATAAGAAAGCCGAAATCCCCAATAGCCTATTTACTATCAAAGATCTTTGAGGCTTACGTGAGCCGAATAAAATAGTGACGAACTCACAGTTTATGATATCTGAACTTGACATCTAATTTATAAATGAAGAGAAATATTACTCAACAATACTAAGTAGATTGAGGCTTATTTTATTTTTCTTTTGTTTGAGAGGATAATAATAAAAAAAAAAAATATGACGTGGAGAAGTAAATACTCTTTATCACTCGAGCTGTTGGAAGCCCACAAGTGTCTTGTTTCTTAATGGAAAATCAAAATGCGAATGAAATTATTCATGTGTCTAGTTTAGAAAACCAGTTCAATAATTTGAATCTCTAAAAATTCTCATAAGAAGACAGATTCATTGTCCGGCATAAGTCATTCATTTGGCCAAAGAGGGCAGAACAAAACCTAACATATTCTGTATCATTCAAGTAAAGCAAGCCATTACATCATATTCAAAGTTTTCGAATGCAGCGAGCCCTTGCCGTCGTCGTTAACATTGTCCTCATCATCCGTTTTCTGCATTGCTGCTTCCTGATCTTTAATTTGGTTACTCTCTTCCTCCTTTTTTCGCTGCCTCTCGGCCTTCTTACATTTGAGGAAATCAACAAGTCCTTCGAGCACCACATCAGCGTCATCGCTCTTCATGAGCTCCTCAGCAACCTCTGCAGGGGTCACCTCCGCGCTCTCTATCAACCCTTCAATTTCCCCACAAAGCCAATGATGGTTTTCGTCACCAATGCCAAGGTAGTTCGAGGCCAAGACCTTGAATCCACTTGCAGTGCAATACGACAAGTGAATGTGCACGTCCATTCGTCCTGGACGCAACAATGCAGGGTCTAACCGATCCTTGTGGTTGGTAGTGAACACGATAATTCTCTCGTCACCACAGCTCGACCACAAACCATCAATAAAGTTCAATAGGCCCGAAAGCGTCAATTTGGTTTGAGATGATTGTTGCTGCTCTTCCGATTCACGATTTTCGACATCAATGCTGCAATCAATGTCCTCAATTACTAAAATCGAACGATTTGTAGTAGACAACAATACCCTCTTCAATTCCGAGTCTCCGTAAATACTAGAAAGCTCCAAATCATATATGTGGAAATGAAGATAATTTGCCATGGCCGCGATCAAGCTAGATTTTCCAG